GTTACCTCGCTGTATAGGTTATTGAATCGGGAGACGTTTTCAACTGCAAGATCACCTATGGTCAGTGCATGTTGCTGAGACGGTAGATCCAAGAAAAGAGCATTTGGTAGATTCGTTCGGATCTCTTCCAAAGCATTTGTCAACGAATCTACGTGTGGCTTCACTTGGCTATTCAGCTCATCATCAATAATCTTTGTGCTTTCACCGTCTCGTAGTCTCGACTCCAGTTTGGGAAGTGTTTCAATGAGGTAGGCATTTGAATCAAGAAGACGATTGATATCTGGTCGAGCGGATTCAAGACCCTGAGAGGCGTTATTCACCTTATCGAAGAACTCAGTGAATGACAATCCAACGTGTTCCATCTTTTCCTTGATCACCGATGCATCAGAATCTTCACACAAGAAAAATTTGCCACAATCCTCCAAGAAGAGAACAAAGGAAAAGAATGATTTTTACAACATACCTGGACACAATCCCAAAAGCTCGGTTCCGCGTGTTTGTAGTTGAATGACGCTGTCAGTTTTATCTGCGCAGTCTTGAGATAATTTCTACATGAATGATAAATTGAAGAATGAGTAAATAGTACTTAATTTAACAAAACCCAAGTAACACGCACCCCTAACTCTGCTACTCTGTTGGCATAGGTAATAGCTGGGTCTCGACTGATCGGAAGTTTGCTGAACCTGGATTCAGCATCCGCTAACCATCCAAGATAGGACTCGTAGAAAGAGTTGAATTCCTTCAAGCAAAGCAAAGCATCAGACACCTTGTCGATTCGGGAATTAACTTCAGCAAAGACATTTTGATAGTCATCGATCAACTTGACCACGCTATCTGGACGGTTTTCAGCCTTTGCGACTTCGGCTAGGAGCTCCAAGCTTCCACGTCGGGATTGAAGGAGGTTTCGAAGACCTGTGAGTTTGTTCAGCAGCGCATCCAATTGTAAAGCATTTGGCGATGGAGATGGGGCTCCCTGTCCTTCCAGTTCGTCACGAACCTAAAAAGTAAATTTTCCCGTTACATAAAGTGCCATTTAGGCATTTACGCAATCAGAATTTTGTTCAACATAACTTCAGTGACTGATAGCATTGAAATGATATTAAAACGCAGGAACTGGTAATTGTCGTCTGCCTTTCCAAGATCCTATAATTTAGCGCATTGCAAGCCCAACCAAATCACACAAAGTATTCATTTCAGGAGTAAAAAAAACCCCAACAACCAAAGGGAAAGTTTAAATCATTGCTAACTCAATATCAACATCCATATGCTCCAGCATTTCGATCTATTCACAATCCGTGACAAATTATTTCAACATCTCAAGCAACATGCCAGAAGCTGTTCGTACATAGGTACGAATCACGGTAAAACAATTTGGATAAACCAATGGCACTTACACTTTGCACGAGACTTTCCAATCGTCGAGTGTTGTTGACTTGTGTTGTGGAGAGGGTGGACGCATCACCGACATGTTCCTTCACGCTGCTAACCACAGCAAAAAGACTGTCAACTGCTGCCTCGGTTGCGGTTAGATCCTGTTCAAGTCGGCGCCTTCCGAGGCCTGGTTGACTCATCTCACTTAGGGTTGCACCGGTCTTTTGGAGTTGCTGCAACTGACTTCTCAAAGGCGTCAAGTACTGACGCTCGTAGTCTTTCAGTTCGTCTGGTGTTGGTAGAGGTCTGTGGTTAAAAATACAAAATATTCTATCAAAAAATCGAAAGTATTACAAACACATTTATTACATTTTCGGCCTACTTATCTGCTTTAAAGCGACAAACAGCATCCCTCTTGTCCTCTCCCCACTTTATTCATGACATTTACCATTAAAATACAAAAATTTGGATCACTTAAAGCTTTTGGAAAGGCATCCAGTGCATGAAATTGTGCATTAATTCCTCGCATTAAACAGTGAGACAGACGCAATTAAATCCCATCGAATAAAATGAACTTGAGACCTATTTGAAAAGATTTTAAGATTGTTGGTCAAAGTATACATGATCCCACTCCTTCTGTTCTCCAGTGTCGACTACGCAATAATTCAAAGCGGTGAGTTTGTCCTTCACAACCGATGAAGACATTGAACACTCACTTGTGAGGCTGAATGGGTGATGAGGTGCGAGCATCCGCAAGACTGCTTGAAAGAAGCTTTTGTTGATCAGCAAGTTGCTGCGCCACCTTGATCTTTTGTCCAAGCCTTTCAGTAGCCTCGTTAGCGGCCTGAGAAATACGACTGGACTGTCTCTTTAGACCCTTCAAAAGACTTTCCAACAGTGGGAGTGGTGGCAGATCCTTCCTATCGCCCTTGAGAGACTTTAATGCGGCGTCACATTGTTTCAACTTTAAATGAGACAGAAAGAATATCTGGTTAAATACTTGACCGACTATTTACATATTTTTCCTATATATTTTGCACTAACACACTCAAATAAGCAAAACCCGCTTACTTTATCGGTGATCTTATTCACGTCTTCCAATCTGCTTGAAAGAGTGTCTGGGTCCAAAACGGTGTGTTCAGAGCCCGCAACCTCAACCTGGGCCTCCAACTCATCCATACGGCGTTTGATAAGATCTGCACGCATCAGAAGACTAGAGATCGCTTTTTGACCATCCTGTCCACCCTCAATTGACCGCTTCAGCGAAGACTCGAGTTGTTTCAGACGGTGACGCAGTCCGACTTCTTGTTGTCGCAGAGGTTGAGCAGATTGATTGGAGCTCTCGTCACCCAGTTTTAACAAAGTCTGCTCCAAATCACGGATCTGAGAGTAGAGCGGTGGGAACTCACGGTTCATGACATCCTGTTGAAGGGATTCTAATCTGCTCGTAGAACCTAGGTCTTTGAGGAATTGTGATTCTAGATCATCGATTGTAAGCTGTTGAGATTGCAACTCCGTTTCAATCGGTTTACTTTTGGCAAGAATTTCCTGAAGAGCCTCCTGTTACAAGTCAAAATAGCTAAATAAATCTATTAGCTGTTTTAAAATATGGAAAAAAATGTAGTAACAGCTAAATTACGGTTTTTTTGGTATATCGACGTTTGACATGATCCAACGAGGCCTGACACTTCTCAAGATCGCTTAAAAGATCGGGACACAACACCTCCGCTTCTGCGCGAAGACTCGCCAAGTGTTTATCACGCGACTCAATCAACGTCATAAATGTTTCTACGCGCTGCATCGCCTTTGTCAAGTTGGATCGAGTCACTGGATACGAACCACTCTCGAAGATTGGACACTCAACGGTTCGTGACTCTAAATCTAGCCAAGCCTGAAAAGAAGAGAAAGGAACATATATCCATGTATCCCAAATAAAGCATGTTTGAATAGAGATAGGCGATTACAATGCTATAGCTACCTGAAACGTAGCCATTCTCTCTTTCAGATCATCAATTTTGCTTGTCTTTGAGTCCGTTTTGGTAGGAGGCCCCTTAAGCGGCTCCAATTCACCTCTTTCATCCGTTTCTGACGCTGAAAAATGCTCATCTTTTGAGCCTTTTGACTAAAAGAGAAGATAATAGACAATGTGAAAGATTGATGAGTGGATTCAAAAAGAGGACAAAGATATACAAAGTACTTTTTCATCGAACATGGATCCCTCCAGGATAATTTCCTTCGATTTAGCGGTTTCTTCGTCTCCAGTAGGAATCGCTTGTTCGTCCACTCTAAAATTGCACAAACCTCGTTTTACGAGTACAATTATAGTTGCACAGCGAAAGTGACCCTAGGATTGTGGCGAGCAAAACATCAAAAAAGAAATGTAGTAAGTTTTATTTTCTGACACGAAAATGAATTGGTCTAGTTTCGAGGCAGGAGGTAAACATGTATACCTAGAATGTGAGCTGTGAATGAATATTGAAAAGACGCCACTCACTCCTCCAGATTCTGCCTCTCTAAAACCGCGTCATTATGTTTGGCGCACAAGGTGTTCTGAAGCGTCTCCAATCGTGACTCAATAGCGCCGATCAGACCATCAAAACGCGAACGAGAACCACTAACACGAGCCGACAGCTCCGACGCATCGGTAGTGGCGGGAAGCGAGTTAATAAACTGCCCTGCCGCCTCTTCGAAGGCATGAACCGTCGGTTCGGTTCGAATCAAACCAAATTGGAGGAAAAGTAGCTAAAACGATAATTAACGTGGTAAATGAAAAGTGCGAAAGAAACTTATCTGAACCCTCTAGTCAAACCTACCTTCTGCAGTTGGCCTTTAGAGACGGGAACCGCGGAGAGGGCCCCAAATGCTAGTGAATGCCGACTAAGTTGGTTGTCCAAGTCGCTGTAGCACTGATCAAGTGCAAGAGCCTGAGAATATGTTTCAGACAGCTCTGAAGCTCGATGTTTGCAGATAGCGTCCAGTGCCTGCCACTTCTTTTCAACATCGGTCTTATGCTCGCGGATGCGACCAGAGCCCTTTCCGGCCCCCTTTTGATTAAGAAGCTCGTTTCCAAGCCGTCGCAAACCATCAATTTGTGGAGCCATGGCTTTGAGCTCAGCTTTGAATCTGGAGGAATCCAAGGAGTTAGTGAATTGAGTTTGCCAATCCGCTTCTGGCTATAACAAAGGCTGCACTTCTTTCGGATAAACTCTTGTGGTTTCCATTCTATATTAGAACGTAGTGCTTGGAAATTGGATTTCTAACTCAATCAAACACTTGAATGAACAACTTTTAAGAAAATGCAAATCTGTTCGCTATTTTGAGCGGAACAATTTTAAATTAAATCACTCTACCTGTCCAACTTCTTGGTCAAAGCAAGAATTTCTTGAGGGTCCACGGAGCTCAATTGAAGCTGAGAGATCTGATTGAGTCGCTGGGTCAGCCATGCGTCTGCCTCCATGAACGCATTCGAAAAGGCCTCTAAACTTCTAAGTGAGCTTGCAGCAGTCGATTGAATAGAGGAAACACGACTTTTGAGCCTCTCACAACCATTTTTCAAATTCTCAGCATCTGCAAAACACCCAAAATGAAAGGTTAGGTCAAGAGAGGAAACATCGATTTGGCAAATTAGATCAATCAACAGAGTTCAGTTTACCTTGAACCAACTTGTCATCAGCCGAGTTTTCAAATGGCTTCAAGAGACCACAAGCCGATTCCACCTCGCTTTCTAAAGCATTACACTCAGAAGTGACTTTTTCGAGCTCCTTTAACTGTTCACGAAGCGAGACTTCCTCAACAGTCGAGCGATCAGCGAAGATACCAGCATTCAGGCGTTTTTCAAGGCTCTGTAACCAGTCGAGCAGTTTTGCCCGTTTAGTCTTAAACTGTTTGGCACGTAAAAGACGTTCTTTGCAGGTCTGATGCGCCTGATGGATTGACTGATCCAGATCGGAGAGTTCAGCCCAGGCTGCAGCTGTTTTCTTCTTGGCCGTGGTTATGTCCGATTCTCGACCCAAATCAATGGCTTCCAACGCCAATTTATTTATATCCTCTTCAAACAGATTAAATTCAGCTGTTTGGGAGTTTTTCATTCCCTAAATACAAAAAGCGCATATTAATAAACATCAAAACTATGGAAGGGAAAAGTAGAAATTAATATCTTCAAATATTAGATACCTCTATTTCCTTCAACCGTTTATAGCTTTCTCCCTCGGGTATTAGACCGCTTTCAATGGCAGACAAATCAGATCGAGCAGACTCCAAAAATGCGTCGAGATTTTTAGACGCTTGGTCGAGAAGCAAACTCTTCTGCTCTAATTCATCCAATAGGATCTGGTCGCGGGATAACCTGCTCTGTAGCTCGGTGCACCTTTTAAAAAACATCGGAGGTAAAACAATATTTAGTGAAATTGGTTAGTAGTGTAGTTGGAAATAATTGATGCATCTGAACCACTGTGATACCTAATGATCTTAAAATTCCTCTAGATGGGCACCACGCATCACAACGATTCGAGTAGGATAACCGTGTGATTGATTATATCGTCTGCGTTTTACTTATTCAAGTATCGGGGAAATTACTAGTGCGACGTAAATTCAGTATCATCGCTACTCTTATCTTGTAAATAACTACCAATCACTCAACTGGCTAAGGTCACTTATGGTCCACAGTTTACGCATGTCTTCGGAGTGTACCATATTAATTTTTAAACCAAACTCACTTGTCCACCAACTTCAGCGCTGCCGCAACCTTCTCCTTCACCTTTTCAGTCGCTTCCTGTTGTTCCCCTGATTTTTCCAGCTCTTCTAACTCCTCCTGTGCCGATCTAAGTAAGGACTGGAGCCCAGGTTCACGAACAGACAGTTCGGCCTGTAGTTTGTTATTAGCCTGACGGGCTTCCAGCAGTGTTGACTCATTTTTTCCTCCTGCTGCAGCAATGGCATCCTCCAACCACGCAGACTTTTCCCCCAGAGACCCATCCTTAGCATCAATGGCACTAAGAAGGGATTTTATTTTCACTTTCATAGAGGTCAATTCTTTAGACAAGGCGGAAAGTCGAGCTTCTTCAGTTTCCAAGGGTTTGTTCAGACAAGTTTCGATTGTTGAAGGTGATACTAAAACCGCGGGGAGTTTGCTTTTCGAAAGATCGTCTGCTAGCACATTTAAGGTCTAAAGAGTTCATGAAAAAACGTGGACTTGAACTAGTTATTTATGAAGCCTTGGGACTGAGTAAAATTAGAGTTTATGAAATTGTTTTACACTTTCATTTTGAAGGATGCACATAGCTTGCATCTTAAAGCGCCCGACGATGAATGTTTGCTGCCTTAGCCAAATTTAATTATGGAAAGTAAGTCACCTCAGTGAATTTTTCGGTTTGGAGGATAAAAACAAATGACCTGCCTCAAGGGCTGACTTGATATGCGAGATGTGACCTTCCAGAGCAAAAATGCAAGAGGCTTGATCCTTCACAAGCACGGGATTGGTGATCATTTGAGTGTTTACCGGTGCACGAGCATTCCCCTCGCACCAAGGATTCACATCCACACCAGCAGCAAGAAGTTTTCGAGTGGCTTGCCAAAAGGTCTTCTCCGCTGCATCCAGAGATTCGCTGCATTTGGCAAGCCCAGTGGCAAAATCACTGAAGCCCATTGCAGCATCAGAGTAGCGAGTGGAGTACTCCCCTGCCAAAGCCTCTAGCTCATTGAACTTATTCTGCGTCCAATCGACGGCCGTTTCGACAGAGGGGACGATACTTTCGGCGGAGGCTTCTGTAACAGGAAGCTCGACACCAACGAGACTAGCGTATTCCAACTGAAAAAAGACAACCTGAGGTCTACTGAGACTATTGAGGCATATTAATTCAATAAATTAGTGAAACAGGCATTATACCTCATTAATATTTTGTAAAACAGTATCCCTTAGTTGAGGAATAGGGGTGGCTAGGAACTGACAGGAACATTACCTTAGCTGAGTTATACTTTTCCAAACAGGAGAGGAACTTTTGAGCACTTGACATGACACTTGCTAGATCCGTCTGCCGTGAGAGTAACTCGTGCTCAACACGACTAATATGAGCCTGTATAGCGGAGAGACTTTCAGGATGAGGAGCGTAAGTCTCCAGTGTCTGCTTTAGTGACTTTTCAATGGATGTAAGCCAGGATTTCAAGTCCTGCAACTGGAACGTCAGCTGCTCTAGATTGTCTAGACTAGCAGTCAGGAGGTGTATCCTCAAGTCTGTCTCCTGGGTAAGCTATAAGAAAGGCAGTTTTATAGGTCAAGGTCAGTCTGGTAAATGCAGTGCAAACTCAAGGGGTCGTACTACCTGTTGGAATGCTGAGCGAACTTCCATAGCTTTAGTTTCCAAAAGGCTTCGCTTCTCTGAAGGAAGTGAAGCAATGGCTTCTTTGGCCAGTAACTCAGCTCTTTCACAGACGGCTAGGGCGACTTGTTTGTGCGTCAATAGGTCATTGTTGATTTCCTTTATAAAAGAAACACTAAATTAGTTATTCGGTGTACTAGGTTAAAGGCCATCAATGGACGCCTTGGAGCACAACAACAAAGAGCATTTATACAGCATAAAAGAGTAAGAAATAACCTACATAGTACTGGTCCAACAGTTTTTGATTGTCATCGTCATTCAGAGAAATCGAACATTCATTAAGAATGCGTTCCTGCCTAGTCAAGAGCCAAGCTGATTCCGCATCCAATTCCTTAAGTAGACCGCTAAACAGTCGTGCGTAATTTACCTAGAACAGCACAAAAATAGTTAGAAGGGGAGACCTAGAAAGAGAATTTAAGGCCAAGCTGGCTTGTAAGCAAGCAGGCAGACATTAACATGCCGTGATGATGCAAAGGAAACGAGAAAGGTCATTGGGTAACCCAAAAGTTCAGTACACAAAAGGCGAAGAAAGCATGCCGAAAATAATTAAAGTAGTTATTTTAAGGTAATGTCTACATCTGTAATCGAATTCGAAGACAAGACAGCAAAAGCTAATTCGTTTAAAGAGGTATTAGCACTAGATTCACAAAAAAAAACTAAGCAGGAAAAGCGCCGATGAGAGGTTTAATAATAAACATGTAATAAACAAGGCATCCAAAAAAAATAGCGTGTAAATGCTAAATAAATTCAAAACAAGGCAAACAACGCAGGCAGCAAAGCAAAAAAGGGAAAAAAGGTCGCACACAAAGATAAAACACAGTCGAGGAAACTACTACCTCAGGTTGAAAAGGCATCGAACGTGAAACAACGGAAGCAGGGAAGGAAAAATTACGGTCGCCAGAGAAACGCAAATGAGGAAAGGAAACTTCCTCCAAAATAGGCGACAGACCGCCCGACAAATGCCCAGGCAAGGAATAAGGCAGAGAAAGTGGACAGGAGACACCGAATAGAGAACGCGATAAATTTGAAGAAACGCCAATAGCAATAGGCGAAATGCCAAACCCTAACTCAGGCGAAATAACAGAAGAATCAAATTTAAATTTTAAAGATGCACCTGATTTAGATCATGAACTACCCTTCCAGAAACACAATGGAAATGACACTGTGTTTAAGATCCAGAATCTCTCTTTTAAGTCTCGTTAGACCGCCTCCTCAGCCAGTTGAAAAAAAGGAATACTGTAGGCAAAAAGTTGAGGAATTAGTATTGGGGTATTTGAGAATCTATTGAACAAATTTAGATGTTTAGATCCTGCTTCCATTCCTCCAAGGCACTCGTCCACTATTCGGACATTACCATGGCACATAGTTTGCCTAATACGAGATCCCTACCATGCATTATTCCTAGGCGCCTTTTACTCGGAGAAGAATTTGTATCGGTTTCAATTTAAGCATAGTTCCAGTCTACCATCTCGACCTTATGAAGCGTAGCAAAAATGTATTTTTATGGGAGCTCAAGCTAGATCACTCCATTATCATTTCACGCTAAGAAATGAAGGATAATATGATACAATTAGATTTCAGCCCAAATCTTATCCCTCTCGCAGAAATGATGTACTGTGACACCAAACCTAAATTCAATGATATAAACTTCTTTTTTGCTTCGGAATAATTTTTTCTCAGTTGTGGCGCATTATCAGAGATCTATTTAAGAGCCACCGAATTTAGCTCTTGATATTGCAGCGGACATGGATGAACAGGCCCAATGTACTCCAGGTGTAAACTTTTTAATCACACGAAAGAGAAAAGGTCACATATTTCCAAATTTTGAAGGCAGTTTACTTGTCCAAGTAGTTTTATTTAAAAAATTGGAACCATCTTCATTTCATGTTAGTTTAAAATTGTAAGCTAAGTAATTGCTAAACCCATTGTTCCACACGGTGAGAATGTCGTGTACTTTTAAGCTAATGCATTGTGGCAAGAGAAAGGAGAGCAGTGACCAAGCTTAGCCAATTAACTTTAAGGCAAACCTGAAAGTCGGTATGTTTAAGGATTTTTAAGCAGTTTCCGAACAATCCAAATTACCTTTTCCATTTTGTCAAGTCCATCATTATTTTCAGTCAATCTTTAACAGCTAGTTGTCACTTCAACGGTCTCCTTGTGGCATTCGTGTGAGACCAAAAGTAGAGAAGGGGATTTGTTCAAGGCCCGAGGTGGCGCCTTTATTATTATGCATATTTTTTTAAAAGTCCAAAATTACTTTATCGTGTCGAAACGATACACGAAATCCGAATGCTTTTTAAACTGTGACTACGTCGGGTCTTGTGGCCACTTTGAGATGGATGAATCCAATGTTCCCAACAGATTACAGCCCTCTATTATCCGCAGCTGAAGTGGGTAATTTGTAGCCAGGACTAGAAATACCTGTCAGGATGAAGTTTGTTCCCTAAATTATCCATGAACTTGGCGATCATTAGTTAACCACGCCCTAGCTATCTAGCAAAATATATCATTGGTGTTTTCAGCTGTCTGCGCTACATCTCATTCATAAAAGAAGACCAATTCCCAATTCTTTTGTTCTCAAATACTTAAAATGCTTAAATCTGCAAGGATGTAGCTTCAAAATAACGAAAACAACCGACAGTAGACAAAGTGATGCTTTAAAGATTCTGAGTCCAAAATGCCAAACTTCTTAGGGGAGTGAAAACTTCAAACAACTTTAGTTTCAAAGCACTTTTCTTTAAAATACAATATTCTTCGAAGGCTGAAATTTTTGCAGCCGAAGAAGCTAAGGTAACTCTGTTTTGTTGGTTCTCATTTATTTCTAACTTTACAGTGGGCCGATTATTCACGCCCTTAGTCGAACTGATTATTTCCTTATTCTCCCATTGCTTACGGCGAAACTGCGGTGAATTTCCCATACCAAGAATCTCCCACAACATGACAGTTGCATTATTAATAACGCGTAATATATAAACTGTCTTAAGCTTCGATGGTACCATGAGGAAAGGTCCTTGTTCTTTTATATGATGTCCGACTAAAATAAGCAGAATATTCCTGTTATTTCGTCTGAAAATGCTCACGAGGGTGCTTATTTAATAGGAGTGTATATTTTAAGTAGACCAAGTTCTTTATGATGGACTAATGTAGATATTGCATTTCACCTCATCAACGCTCGGCAACACATCCATTTAAAGCTGATGCATGGGATACTAATGAGCATTTGCGAACGTAAATAAACCAAACAGCTAAGTGCCAAATTCACTTTATTACATTTGTTAATTATAGGAAGAGGCATTAAAACCGACACAGGAGTGAATGGCTAATGGAAACAGTCTTGACGCCTCTTTTAAAAAAAAAGAACTGCGTAGTTAGCGCCTGTTCGTGGGCGGAAAGAAATTATCGCGTAGTGTCCTTTATAATTGTTCTATTTGTTAAAATTATCATTTATTTCGAGACACTCTAAATGAAATATATTTCACCACCCGAGGGCATAATTTACCCAACTTTCAGCTGCATTTTTTTGCAAATGAAGAAAAATTTAAGCACATTTAAAGACCACATACTTAAAGAAGTAAGTCCTAAATTCTTTGACTACAGCTAATCTATTCACACTCATAATGGATTTTCCCCTGTCATCACATTAGTTCACCCTACCCACCCGTAAATGTTGTGAAAGGAATGTCTGGAATGCTGGATAGTGGAGCAAAATAGCAAAAGCTGTAAAGCCTGTGTATATTTATTGACAAACACTCCAAGCAGAACCGGAAGCGGATTCCCTTGAAGGCATTAGCCCAGTAGGAAATGCCCACTCAACCACCAAACCAAATAGTCCTCAAAAAGTCTTGTCGTACCTCTTTACGTAACCGAATCACGACCCTGCAGTCTCATGTAGAAAAAGGATAAGTTGACATTGCTATGACTGTAAAAATAATGATAGTCTGGTTCACTAAGAAATCACAATGTAGTCCATAAATACATACTTTTGTGCTTACCACATTTCGGAAGCACATAATCCCGACGGAAATTGTTGTGCTTATTTCAACAAGAAGTACATCCTTTATTTTTCTAATTCCCAAACGGCTAAGAAGAGAATGGGATCACTTAATTGAATTCGCTTAGTTGTTTTGAAAAGCATTAAGACTACTTCGGCCTTACACGCTTAAGTTGCGTCAGATTTTGAACAAGATCGCTTATCCTTAAAATTGTGTTTTTTACCAAAAAATCTAAACTTTCTCAAGTGCCATAATTTTTTAGTGCAAAACACCTCGTTTTCAAAAAGCATGAGAAAATTTTGACATAATTACTTTAGGACGCAAAAAAAAGGCGTCATTTAGTACCGTTGTAAATCAAAAGATGAATAGCCATTTCCCAAATTGTTCAAATTGGAACTCCGGGCAAACTAATGCAATAGGCTCGGTGATTCCTTCGTCTACCTCCCCCATCATGCCTTTTGAATCGGTGGACGAGTTGGGCAAGGACATGCCTGATTGGGAAGTGATTTTTAAATGGGTGCAGATGTCACGGATTAGGAGTCTTCAGGGTACGTTTCCTCCTCGGAGACCATCGGCATCCCACCCAACACGATGCTCATATTATCCGGCAGTTTCTAGCCTAAAATGTGTATTTATTTGTATGTATTATAACAAAGTTAAAGGCAATAAATTCTTTTAAAGCTCATTTGGAGATGCATTCAAGGTATGTAAACGTCATATTTCTGTTGGAATTGATAATTACGAGATGGTGAGCGGTACATACCGTGTAACGAATTCTATCTGATGGGTTAATTGCCTTTGCATATTAATAGGAAAGTATTCACTTCAGAGCGAGCATTGTGGACAGAACGTGTGCTCCAGAAGCAGAAATTTACTTGTGCCCGAATAAATAAATAATGTGGAAACAGAATTCCTCTCTCATGAAACCCCTCGTAGGTTGATTTCACAATTTAGCAATGAACCGTGGTGTAATGGTTGACCAGCTGCAGGCATGAACACAAGGGCTGTAAAAGAGAACATTGGTTTATCCGTGAAAGTCAAAGAGGGCCGGTTGTAAAATTCTCAAGAAGGCTCAGTTTGGGCTTGCAAATTATCTCTGCTTCCATTCAAGGCAATTCCAAGGTTGATAGTATATCAGGTGAATTCCAGACAATTGACCCATTGGCGGAATTTGTTTCTTAATGGAAGCGCATTGCTTTACCAAGGTTTGGCAAGTGGACAGAAGGATAGCCAATGGAAGCATCCATCAACAGTTGTAGTAAAGGAATTCAATGTTCCGTTATCGGCAAAAGAAATGATATTGATAGACCCAATCGACGGCCATTGGCCTCTTCTCAAAAACCATCAGGAAATTGAAATGCAAAATCGGAGTTCTCTCTTAGAGATCTTATTTTGCATATTCACATCGAATTTTGCATGACTTATAGGTACATAGCCGAAGGTCTTGCCTGCTTTTCCTTTAAATTCCTCGGACAAGTGCCAATCTCTGGCAGCTTGTTCAACAGCTGCGGCCCCAAAACGGTTGCGAGCTCTGAGCACATTATATTCGATTTCTAAACCGCAATTTTATGCTTTTCGATCAGTTCTAGCTAATTAGTCCTGTGAATGAAGGTTCAGCACAGCCCCGTAAGTACATTTCTTTGTGTGAGAATTTGCCCGAATTCGAATAAACAAAGCAAAATTCCACACCTTAATGAGTCTAGCTAGACAGCGCTTAGTGCCGCCACTACAAGGGTCTCAAAGCAGCTAGGTTTCAACTATTTTACTACAGCACTAACACTCACCTGAGCTGATCAGTAAATAGTTACTCACACACCAAGAATACATGGTCATCCTCTGATCAAGTCGAATCTCCTTTATTT